TTTTTCAGGCCTGTGTTTAGCAGAAAATAAACAAGTGTTGAAATATTTGCTCTAAAATTAAAATTTCTAAAGTAGAACCTTGCTTATAAAAAAACAAGAATGTTAGAATAGTGAACGTAAGAAACAAGCAAAAATCTCTGCATTTTGAGGTATTAAAAAAACAAACAAACAAACAAACAAACATACAAAAAACCTGCACATACTTGGAAAAAAAACCAGTTACAGAGCCACAGCTTATCTCACCTGAGTGCCCATTCTCTCATTAACTTATGAGGGAATTCTATTATTTGGCAACCCAGAAGCTGTTTATATACTTCTGCATTGGTCGGCTTTCCATAGAGTGCAAAGGAGGAGCAAATTTAAAGCTTTGAAATCAAAACAAGCACGTAAAGAAATACTTCTGCTTCACTGCATCAACCCTTTTAGCCTGTCACCACAGGTGGATGTGGAAAGGTGGCAGAAGCAATGAAAAGATGACTCCTTCTTGGTGAGATGTAATATGGCCAAATCCAAGGACAACATGAAATAACATCAGATCTATCTCTAGCCTGAAAAGCAAGGGAGTCCCAGTCTCAGAACACACGACCTTGTTCATTTATCACAGGAGAGTAATGTATTCAATGTGTTAATAATGCTGTTCCCTATTTCACTGTTACTAACTCCACTCCCTACAGTCTCCCTATTTTCCACCCTCAGACTGACTTCCAAAATGCAGTCTATTCTTGCCTAAAGCATGGCCTGCTTCAGCTGTAGCCTTCACTCACTGAAGAGCCACTGTTCACCGTCCTTCATCTAATGAGAGGTAGTTTTGTGGACATGCCTGGGAGTTTTCTCTCTCTTGTTGATTATTCACAGGTTGCTTAAGAACACTAAAAAATTTCTGACAAAGTTCAATGTTTTCCTATTCTTGCACTTGCTCAGTCATTTCCCTTTGTGCCAAAATCAACATTATGGATAGACATAAATTTTGCTTATAGTTCTGTTGGCTCTCTCCAATTTTATTTGTAGACACTTCAGACTCTCTGCAGAGTTAATAATTTCCTTCACAAAGTCATTGGATAACACTGGATTTGGTTCTCACCACAGTAAAATCTTACTAAAACCCTGATTATCCTATTTTCAGTGTCAACATTTGCACAAATAGGAGCATTTGCATTTAAGATGGATGACCAAGAAGAAAAATAAGAAAACTGTTTCACTTAATTTTGTTGTTCCTGGCACAATGCACAGCTGTGACTCCCTGAATTGATGGGTTTAAGTTCTACTGGCTTTAAAAATACTTCAAAAATCATATATCCTTTTTTTTCTGTGCACATATATTTTAGGCCATAATTCATTTAAATATTACCAGATTCTGTACAAAACATAAATCCTCAAAGGAACCTCTGATGCTTGATCATGAAGGTAGTGGGGGAAGAGAGAGCTCTAACAGTTTCTAGGATGTTGGAGATTTAAGTTTAGGTTTCTCATTGAAATTAGACAGATGGCCCTGTGCACTGGGCTATATCTGCTCTGCAACTGCATTTCATCTTCATTAGGAGTCCCATTCCAGATCTACAACAACTTCCTAACAAAACTATAGCTGAAAGTAACAAAAGACTGGAAAAGGGGATTACAACAAATTAATATGTCAAGATATTTCTTTATCAGGGAGCAAAATATGTCCATTTGTTACCTGTTCAAAAATATATGTGATTTCTAGATAATACATGACTGAAATACATTGAAGCACCATTAATATTTCTCCTTGAGTATTCCACATAGAAAAAATTACAACACACAGGAGATACATCGTAACTCACATCTTCATCTTTTTGGCATGGCTATGGAAGTGCTCCAGGCCCTTCTGAAGCTGCAGATACCTGCAAGGTAGATAATCTGCTCTGGTTTAACATTATGCAGGTGTTTCCTATTATCAAGGAAAAGCTCAGTCAGTGTGATGTAAAGCTTTGCGTATCTGCCTCAGCAGCCATGGCTTGGTGAAGGCACAGCACCAACCAAATATCAGAAATAATTATGATATCTTCTCCGCTATCACTGACTACAAGACATTGCTCAGTAAGTTTCTCTGATCATCTGGAAGACAAACACAGGTTAGTGCCAAAAAAAGAATTGCTGAACTGACCTCAGAGCTCTCTTTCCACTGTGATTTTGTATGTACACAAGTAAGCAAGGATTAAATGGTTGTGAGACCCATGATATCTTCCTAGGAATTGTTATCACCTATTCTCATTAAATAAAAATGTTTGATTGGCAAATAGAATTTCAGTAATAAAATAACTTTTGTTTCTCTGCTATTATTTCTCTTACTTCACAGTTTCTACAAAGTTCACGACAACTTCTTCAAAGCCTTCCCTCAACCCATTCTCTGACCTTCCTAAAGGCTCTCCCCACCTGACTACTGTCAAAGTTTTCTGACATCCTAAAACCACTCCACACAGCTTTCTCCTAGAAAGTCTTAGAAAATTTCCAGTTTCTTCCCAACAGACAAACACAAATTTCCATCAGTATTGTCTTATCACGCCTCTTTTTGTAAGACATACTGCTATCCCTGATCTCCAGCTTGTGGCTTTTGCCTACTTTTTAAGCTTTTAGCTTCTAAGTTAAAGAGAAAGTGTGTTGGTTTAGATCTTGGACAGTTTCAAACTCACAGCTGATATTTAGCAAGATAGAAATAACAGTCTGCATTTTTGTTGTATAATTACGGGAAGAATGCACGCAAAAGGTCACAGTCTATAGCCCTGCATCTTAGCTCAAGTCTTCAGCTGCCATAGGTTTGTAGAAGCCAGAATCAGTCTCGCCCAAGAACGGTCTCCCTTCCATGGTACAGTGGTTCACATCGAGTTCCAGACAGGACTCCAACCTAGGGCAGAGAAGCGCCTTTTTCTGAGTATTTCAGCACTTCCTCTTCTGTCTGGAACTTCTAAAGCATCATAAAGAAGGAATGTAGCAGTGGCTGTGAAAGCCTGACTGAAGCTTTTTACCTAAAAATTACTTGCTGTGTCAGTGCTAGCTGGATTTGCTGCTTTCCTAACAGCTTAAGGTATTTGAAGATGTGGCTACATGACACTTCAGGAACTGGAAACAAATTTTATTTTAAATCTTTGGGGGAAAAAAGGTCAAAAAACATTCCCCAAATGAACATCTAAGAGCCAGAAGACAATGAAAATCTCCCTTCCAATTTTTTTTTATTATTTTGTATAATGAAATCACGTGACCTTAAGTCATACCAGGAGAGATTCTGATTGGATATTAGAAAAAATGAGTTGCCCAGGGAGGTAGTAGAGTAACAGTTTCTGGAAGTGTTCAAGAGGTGTCTGGATATGGCACTTAGTGATATGGTTTAGGGGTGATTCTGGTGCTAAATTGATGCTTGGACTAGATGATCTTGAAGGTGTCTTTCAACCTTAAAGATTCTGTGATTCTCTGTGATTCTCTGTGATTCTGTGTTTTTTTCAAGTGTCCACAGTTTTTGAGGACAGATGTCAACCATGAAGGCTGGATGTTTTGAGCCGGCACAGGTATACTCCACAGACAATCAATAAAAATCTTACACATGCACTGATGTACCGATGTGCAGCAGCCTCCTTTCTGCCATCACCCAAGCAGACCCGGAATGCACTTTGGCATTAGAATGGGAATTTTTCTACATACATATTAAGACTCCGACGACAACCGTGTGTGTGTGTGTGTGTACATGCTTATCTGGATATATTTATTTTCCATAAAACAGGTCCCCAAAACTAAGTAAGAGGTACATAATTTATATTTCTAATGGAGAAATATTATTGTTGCATTAGGAAATCCCAAAATGTTGGGAAAGTATGATGTAGAAATATCTGTACATTTGCCCTATTCTGAAATTCTTCTGGCAACCACATTTAGCCACAGTTAGAGGCATGACGCTAAGCTAGCTGCACCTCTGATTTTACAAAATGTTTTCATAATTTCTTTGGAAAAATTAAGTCATGTGGTGAGCATTGAAACAAATCCAGTCCTTATAGGAGATGGTCTCAGAGCAAAAGTATCACTGCTTCTACATGGATACACCAGCAGAAAAAAAATACCAGAAGGACTTGGATCTACTGAATTCAAATTTTTTTTTAATTGAAGAATGCTGTCATTGTATATCTAGACACTGTAATATATAGGAGAGTGAATGACTTCCTTTTTGCTTCTCCACTTGAGCAGTATAGTGCAGAGTATTTCGCTCAGATTTTGAGACTGTTGACAGCCATGTCAGATTTTGATTTTCTGAGAATGTTAAAAGGAAAATAGATGAGGTTTTAGATGAAGAGGACTATCAGTTATTTCCAGTTCCTTGGGACATTCACAACTTATTTCAGAAGACAGAGAAATAGCTTTCTGTTTAGTACCTTAGTAAATTATTAATTCACATAAAGATTCCAGCTGTCCAGCTGGACCTAGTTTGAGTCACTAGTTATTGTGATCATTTCTGTTTTTATAAGTGGGAATGATCAGATCATCTCACATATTGGATTCTGGTCTGCAGCACTTTATAGTATATTTCAAAAACTGTATTAAGCTCAGCTCTATAGCTCCCTGACTATTCTTTGAAGAATATTTGCAGGGATGAAAGAATAGCACAAAAAAGGCTTGTGATAATGGTACTGGTGGCAAATAGTATGGGTAAAGCAGCAGGAAATACTTGTTTCACCCTCCTGTTTGTGAGACAATGGATTTAATTATTGGCTCGGACTAACTCAGGTGTGTGTAGGGGAGTGGGAGGAACATGTCAAATCTCACAGAGGCGAGGTGATGCCCTGTCCCACATTCCAGCCCCTGTGAGACTCCTAGGGCAGCCCTGGAGCAGCTGGCAGTCACGGGACATCAGAAGCACAGCCCACACCACACCCTGGAGCCCCTAACCCAGCCCCAGATTTCAGCACAGCAGAAGTCCCACCTGGGAGCAGGGGGTGTGGCCACAGTGGGGTCAAAGCACATAAAAGCAGTACCATGTGCTCTCTGTGTTTGTTTGAACCCTAACACCTGTACACGTGGAAGCTGGACTCTCACAGGACTCTCTAGTGGTAGCTATGATTTTTCTCTCTCTTTCTTTAGTTTTTCTCTTAATCTCCTTTCTTAATAGTTTGGATAATGTGGGACTGAATGGGTCGGATTTTGCTAAATTGTACAGGTTAGCATGTGCTAAGTCAGTGTTTTGTGGAATGCTTTATTTAGGTTTTATTCAAAAATCCTCGATTTATATTAAAGTGTAGAATTATTTGGCAACTATTCATAAATTAAGAGGTAGAATTGCAAAACTTCAAACACCAACCAACTGACAACTTTTAAATGTCATTACCTACACTGCTGCTCCATACTTGTTAAATTACTGGAAGAAACTGTTAAGGAATGTAACGTCTGTTACTGGATTATGTGAGGATTTATTTCATGCCTAAATAATACAAATATATTAATCGATGGTGAGTCTTCATTTTTTATTTTTTTTTTAAATATAGACTGCCTCTTGCAAGAGGAACTGTTGTATTTTACATGTAACATTTATATTTTTCACTCACAGAATTACACTAGCAGCATAAAACTGAAAATACAATCAACTATACAAGAGTTTACACCCGATTTGTGTCATCAGTGCTCCTTCACAATGTCCAGATAACTATAAAAAATGATTTTTCTTCTTTCTCTAGGCACTTAGACTTCAGGGCTTTTCCCAGTGTACTTTTAAGCTAGTATCAAACTCAAGCATACATATTTTGAGGTACCTTTTTAATGACTATGAAATGTCAAAGAGAAAAGGTCTAGCTGTTGCCTCCCATGAGGATGATTACTTTCATAAATCACTGAATGTGAGTAATCCAATATTTGATTATGCATAACTTTCTTTGGAAAGCACAATGCTAGGGCATCTACCACTAATATTTATGCAGACTGAAAAATTATCTTCGTGACTGTTTTAATGAGCCAGCTGCCAAAGATTTCACTGTGATGTAATTATGCTCTATTCTGGTTTTGTATTTACTTCTGTATATATTTCTGTAAAGTCAGTGATTCATTAACAGATTAAGTAGTGAGACAATATTTGTGTATCGTATCCATACAGTATGGGCAGGATAAAAGTGAGACAAATGCACTAAAGAGTAGAATTCAGACCTGGATTAACATAAAACTTCAGACTGAAATGAAGTTCAGATGTGTGCTGGAAGCTAAGCTCTGAATAGAGTGTAGTATCTTACCTAAGTGTGCCAAAAATCCCATAGGCTGTCTTAGTAAAGTTTCAGCTCACAACTACAAAAAACTCACAGACTCCTAATATTCCACTTTCTTGATTTATTACACCTCTAATTCATATAAAACAGCATCACACTGTAAATTTAAGAGTTACATCAATGTGCACTATTCTGGAAAATGGTATCCCTTTAAGTTTTGTATGCAATCAGAAACAAACACAAAAGCAGGATAGAGCTGAACTGGTTAAATAGAACTGAAATGCCATTCTGCCCCATTTTCAAGTCTTGGAAATGCCCTCTTCCAAATTCTGCTTGAGCATCCTGCCCTTAACAAAGTCCCTGAAATACAGAAACTGAAGTTATAAGACCACCCTCATTTGCGCGCTGTAGCAAGCCTTAGAAGCTGCCATCACTATTCTGCTTTCAGCAGAAAACACTGGCCTATCCTTGTCTCTCCTTCTGTAACATTTTAATTCCATAGGTATGTTATTTAACTTGGTAAAGTGTTTGTTTGGGGCAGTACATGGAATGAAAGACATTATAGAAATTAACATTCTATACTATTGCCTCATACTTTTCCAAATAGATAATATCATTGACACAAATGGCTGAAGAAAAAAGTCATGAGAACTGAGGATGTGTGGGCACTGAAATATTTCAGGAATTGAATAATGTTTTCCTTTCTCTGTTTAGTCTGACAGATGACAATGTGTCTTGAATGCTTTGGGACAGAATGATGGAGAAGATGAAAAAGCCATTTGAGAAATGCCTTTCTCATTCCAAATGTTTCACTTTGCCTTTCAAGAGTGTTTCCAAGTTGGGCATAATGTTTCTTTTAGTAATGGCAATGTATAATCCACATAAGGGGTAGCAGTCACAATGCATCCTTCCTGCCCTGCAAACAATGACTACAAGTTTAAACTGGTCTTTGGTAAGAGTGTTCTTCAGGAAATGTTATTTATTGTAACTTCTAATTGTGAATTACAATTATATTTGTAATTGGAGAAGCCTGTGGTTTTTCTTACCATGAGGAAATCTCTAGCATTTCTAGTAGCTAAAACTCTTCAGGCTTCTAGGAAATGTCCAACTTTTTTTAACTGTGCAAACTAGGGCCTTTAGAATATGTAACTCCTCCTTGAGTGAAGACAGCAAGATGCTGCTCACAACAGAGAACAGTTTACCAGTGCAATTTTCTCAAAGCTGGTCTCTTAATTTTGTATAAGTTCAGGAAATAAGAAGATAAACATTTTATCTATATTTGTTTATTGCAGCCCTTGTCTTCTCCAGTGCAGACCATGGTCTTCTTGCAGTGAGAGTACATGGTCCCCTCTGTGCACACAGCCCGGGAGCCCAATGACTGCCTGCAACACCCCATGCATCAGCTGTCCTCCACAGTCAGCCTGCAAGACAAGCCAAAGGCAGAAGCTGTGGGTCTTTTCCTCTCTCATTGAAGGTACACAGAGCAGCAGCCAAAATGGTGCAAAAAAATGACAGTGTACCAGTTGAAAGTACAGCAGAAGTTCAATCATTAGTAGATTTACTAGTTTCAGATCTCCATACTCTCTACCAAAGAGCAACCTGTTTTATATTTTTCTTAGCATTACTCTTCTATCTAAAGATAACACATTATGCTATAACATACACACTACACATACACACTATCTATAATGCTGCTGATGCCTTTGAGAAAGCACGCAGGATCACTCTCAAGGAGAAAAGACAACGCAGAAAGAATCGTGCCTTGCAGAATACACCACCTAAGGAGTCTTTCTGCTGTGCCTTTTGCAACCGGACGTGCCTGTCTCCTATTGGCCTTTTTAGCCACCAACGCGCTTGTAACAGACGTGGGTAGAGCCCTTCCCAAATCTTCGTTCACGAAGCCCAGCCATGGTATGCTATAAACAATGACTTGTGTAATGATGTGTGCAAACTCACAAAGATTGAAGGACTTTGAATTAGTGAAAATCTCATATTTTTCAAATATAATATTTGCCTGAGTCACACTGAAAACAATATCTTAGGTTTCTCACAAGCTCAAGAGTACAAGCAAATGGTTTTGGAAAACACATTTTCTGTGCTGCCTTTAAAAGCATCTTCTCTGAGTTTGCAGGCGCTGAATGAAATTGGTACTTCCAGTGCCATCAGCTGACCTAGACTGACCTAGATAGACGGGTTGCTCTGAAATCTAATAGTCCAGAAAACATTCAGGGATGCCCCATGAGAAGGAATCTGGAAGTCATTGGAAACCTACTAGGGACAGTAGTCTTAACGTCCTCTGGCTATCTGAACTCAAGGACTTCCAGACCTGCTATGGCCAATTTTAATGATAAATCCTTGTAGTACAGGCAAATTTTAAGGTTAAGAAATGGAAAATGCTTGAAAAAATATGTGAATTTAAATTTCAGAACAAATATATTTTGTCCTTGATAGATCATTTACTATACTGCAAAGAAGGACTTGGGGGTGCTGGTGGATGAGAAGCTGGACATGAATAAATGGTGTGCACTTGCAGCCCAGAAAGCCATCCTGGGCTGCATTAAAAGAACCCTGACCAGCAGGACAAGGAAGATGATTCTGCCTCTCTACTCTGCTGTCATGAGACCCTACCTGGAGTGCTGCATCCAGCTCTGGATCCTCAGCACAGGAAAGACATGGACCTGTTGGCACAAGTCCAGAGGAGGGCCACAAAAATGACTGGAAGACTGGTGCACCTCTCCTGTGAGGATAGGCTGAGAGAGTTGGGGCTGTTGAGCGCGGAAAAGAGAAGGCTTCAGGAAGACCTTACTGCAGTCTTTCAATAATTAAAGGGGGTTTATAAGAAAGATAGGAACAGCCTTTAAGCAGGGCTTGTTGCAGCAGGTTTTAAACTAAAAGATGGTAAATTCATACAAGAAATAAGGAAAAATTTGTTATGAGAGTAATAAGTTGCCCAGAGAAACTGTGGACATCCCATTCCTGGAAACATTCAAGGTCAGCTTGGATGGGGTTCACTGCAGAGGCAATTATACTAGGTGACCTTTAAAGGTCCCTTCCAACTCAAAGTATTCTATGATTCTATCCTCTTAGCAGATCTTCCACATCAAAAATGTTACAGAAGACTTGAATTCTACAAGTTATTTTAAGAATCCACCTTCAGTTTGGTTAAGACTTTAATTTCGTAACACCCTAAAATATATGTCAAGAATGTAACTATTTCACATTACCATTTTTTTGTAAAAGTGGCAGCACTGTGCTTGCAAGAGTTACATGGAAAGGTAGATTATCTTGCTTGAGATATGTCTGTAAAAACAGCTGGTTTTCCTTTGCAGTGCAACGTGAAATAGGGACTGACTGAGTCAAGTTATAGAAATTTTCCTTTCTAATAAAATTGAGGTTAGACATGGAAAATTATCACTTGAATAAATGAGAGCTTGGAGCTTAATAGAAATATTTCAGAGAACTCAGGGAAATTGCCTATCCTCTTCCTGAAGACAAGAGACTAAAAATAAAATAATATAAATGTATTTTCTTATGACCCAATTTGTAATGGTTTAAATTGTTTAAAAATGCATGGGTAAATCTTATTTTTAAACAAAGACATTTCTAAAAACTTTAGATGGTTACAATCTTTTAGACACAATTGTTACTTGCTACGTGTGATCAGTTTGAAGTAGACTATACTTTGTTTCAATATGACCATATACATTTCTGACACCTTAAAAGCAACGATTACATTCATTATCTCTAACATTTCAGCAGCATTAACAGTTTTTATAAGAAATACAATAATTTCATTTAAGGGACATTTTGTCCCCAAGAAGGAAATTGTTTATTTTAAGGCAGGGACTTATAAAACAATAAATCTAACACTTTGTTTTCCTTTCTGCTTCCCTGGCTCCACAGCAAGAAGACATGAAAGGACTGTGTCCCAGAACAGGGGAGTCCCTACCTCCAGCTTGTGCTGGAGTGGTGGCACAGGCCTGCCCTGTAGATCCAAAAAACCTTTTCCAAACTTCCAGCTCTGTAAATCTTGGCTCCACAGTAGCAGCCTGAGACCCCTTCCAACAGGGTGGTGAAGCTCAGCCAGGCTGCAGACCTGGAGTGCACAGCCCTACCCTGGAAATGTTCCTGCAGCTACCTAACCCAGAGCTGCAGATGCTGCCTGGCAGCGTTACATCTGGCCAGGTTCAGAATCCAGGTCAGGTTCAAATTCTCTGAAAGTTTGTTAAAACTGAGACATTTTGGACAAGACATTCAAGACTCAACAAAAAGGCATTTTTAAAGTAAATTCTTTAACTGCACAATTCATAACAAATACCAACTCTGAGTTAACTCATTAAATAAACAGCAAAGGGTTGAATTTTGGCTGCCTTCAGCACCTCTCGTCTCTAGCTCTAAGGAAGGTATCAGTTCTCTAGTGAGAGGCTAATTAAGCCTCTTATTTCTCGATGTTATTCCCCACAGAAGGCTCTGACACAGGAAAATAATTATTCCCATTTTGAAGCCAAAATATAAAACACTATCTGTAACTGACGTGATTGGTCCACGGATGCACCAGGACGTTAACCTGATTTTTGAAGTTCCTATTACAATCTGCTTCCCTGACCTTAGAACTTCTGTTTCCATCGTTTTTTGCCCTTACTGCAGCAGTACAGTCTCAATGCCACATTTTTGTCTTTCAGCTGCATCTATTTAATTATGAGTTAGTATCCCAAAAGAAGAACAAAGTGATTATACTTCTATGTGAATTTTCAGGATCTTTGTCTGGTTATAGATATATGAATGAAAATAATGTATGAGCATATAAATAGAAAATTAAAGCTTTATTGTGGCTTCTTTGAAAGTCTGGAACGCGTCTCAGAAGACAGTAAAGGAAACTGGAAAAAAGGCTTTGTTTCAGCTGATAAATGTCTGTTCTCTCAAGTTTAAAATCCATGGTGGAAAAGGTGAATGAAACAAGCCCACCAACAGTGGCTAAATCTATTAACTTCATTTTTATTTTGAGCATAAGAATACTTTTTTAAAAATTAAAAAATTAGTTATAAAGATATTTAATTAATTGGGATATAGATCAAAATAGCTAAGATTTGAGTATTAAATGCTGAATTATTCTGAGAATAAACATAATATTTAACGTTACTATTTTGCCAGAAATATTACAGTTTTTTTCTTTTGTTAGCTGAATGTGGATTTTGAAATAGAATCACTTCCTACAGAGCTGCTTTTGAGGGTCAGAAAGATCTAAACTACAGCTTCAGACCATCTTCTTCTTGCATTACAGAGTGATTTCCCAGTAGATGAAGAGGGGCTTTCCAGACCTGTTTTCTGTGCCATCAGAAGTATCTCCAACACTTAGAAAAGTTTATTCTCGTTCTAAGTTTAAGAGTAAAGAGGACATCCAGGAAACATAAAAAGCCAAAGTGCTGAAACAATGGTGGAGTATTTCCTGGTAAGATGAAGAAATGGGGTGAGGGAAGCATGTGGTGGGTGGGATCTGACATGGTTTTGTAGGTATTTGCACTTAATAGTTCACTACAAGTTTAATTCCCTACTTAATTCACCCAAAGTCCTCCGGGGAGGTAAGCACCTAGTTGCCATATATGTAGGGTGGTGGGTTTTGTGGAGCTTCGGTACTATCCCACCTCAGTGACCCTCACTGCTCCACTTGCCTGTACTGCAGATAGGACATTCAGAAGCAGAACCTTTTGTTCTAGAAGAGGAAGGACTACAGCAAATCCTAATCCTTTGTTTTTGGCATCACAAGAGTATCCACAGCAACTAAATGTGATGTGATACAGAAAGGAATGTGACTTCAAGTGCCAGCAGCTGGTGAATGCCTGAGGAGCAAAAATCCTGTTGTCATGTGGATACCCCCAGCAATGGCATATGCACGAAGCAAATGAAATACACACATCTGAAATATGGACAGAAAAAGTTGGTTTTCTGGCAAGAGTCATTTCTGCCTCGGGATACGCTTTAGTCACCACAACAAAACACTGAGAGGGATGAAGCAACCCCAAGATGGCAACAAAGTTCCCAAGGCACCTCAGTCAATCACTGGTTGGCTATTAGTTTAAAAGGTCAGTGGCAAATATCAGTAACTACATCGATTTTCTCCATTTCCCACTCTGTTTTCAGAGTTCACTTATTATCTGTGTTGAATAAACAATATAGATGAGAAAACCAAGGATAAACCCAAAGCCTGGAGAGAGCAGTAAACTGCTTAGAAGTTGGCCCTAGAACTTTGGATTTGGGAAAGTTCTTTTCCCAGACTCACCTCAGATTTGACTTAAGAGCATGACAAAGACCTTTTTGTTGTGTCTCTACAATACCTAGCACAATGGGGCCCTGATCCATGACTGGAGCCTCTAGGCATTGCCACAGTACAAACAAATAACAATAGCTTGCAGCCAAAGACATTGCTGGGAATTGCTTAGTAGGCAAACAAGCTTCTTATAGAAGTGTGTGCTCTGAGCATTTGCTCAGTTCACACAGCCTGGGGTTTCAGAACGTTCTTTGTTGAAAAAGCAACCGTTGGAAATATCCTCTTGACCCTGACTCAGGGCCAAGACAGAAGATATTAGACCCACTTCTCTCTATGTCTTACAGCACTGAAACAGACTTCCAGGACATGAGTTTGGTGTGTGTTTGTACAAGGACTGCTCCAATAATGTCACAGCAATTATGTAAAACACCTATGCTTTGAGCAAATGCATAGTAGGAAATCTTTACACTACTCATCTACCTCTCTATGTAATGCATAAATAGATAGGACTGAAAAAAAATCTGCTGGTTCAGGCATTGGGCTGGTACACTTGTACCTGTTTCCTGGCTCTGGCACAGATATTTGTATGCCCTTTGGCAATTCACTTCACATATCTTTCTTTTCCTCCTTAAAACAAAAGTAAAACAAGAATACTTTTCCTGCCTCACAGGCATCATGAAGATTCCCAAGCCTTCTTACACATTCAGATGCTGTGTGATGAGGCCAAGGAGATACCTGGAAACTTAGACAAGTCTATCTCTGAATTTGGAGTGAGAACTCAAGTTGAAGCTATGCAGAAAATAATTCTCAGGTTGCATTGCTTCCACTGCATTTTTCCTCCTAAATATGGATGGGTCTGGCTTCAAAAGTATTACATTATTTCAGTAATTCCCCAGTTCCACTGATTTTTTTACTTTCTTCAATATTTAAAAGACAGGGTCAGTTTTAATGTGTACAGATTGTGTGAAAGCTGAGCAATAATCTTGACTTTTGAAAAATACAGCTGTCTTTCTGTGTCTAGGTTCCTGCCCTCAGGGAGAATATCCAACATGCATTTTCCAGATCATTAGATATATTACACACCAAGTCTAACACAAGGTTTTTTTAGTTAAATCATATCAGTAGAGCCCCTCTCTGGAGTGCCTTTGCTACTGGGTATTAGTCAACCCAGACAGGGTAGGGCTGCACTCTGGTTCTTGCACTTCAGTTTTGCCAGTATTTTATATGAAGAAAACTCTGTCTTCACCTTAGATTTTAGACCATGACTCTTGTTTATTTCTATCTAGAACAAAGTCTGTATACAAAGTCAATATATTTTGTCAGATTAACTAGCAGCCAAGTTTTGAGGCACACAGGTCATTCTTCATGCCTCTTTTTTCACTCTCTCCCATTGTAGGCCTCATCTGCCAAATAGACATTTCAATAAAGTCATTCCCTGGTGCTGCAGCTGCCATCCACTGGGACAAAAAGACGAAAATGTGGCAAACATCACTACTCTATGTAACAACTGAAGAAACACAGAGATGCAAGTGGGTCAACTCCCTAATGGTGCACAGGCTCAGCTGTAGAATGGCATAGCACCATCCTAGCTCCAAGAACTAATTTTTACTGTCTTGAGCAAGAAAGTGAAAAACTATGAGTCCTGATCATTCTGTTTCCTTGTACATCAAGAATTTCTTTAAGGCGTACAGATATACACAAACCATTTTTTAATTCTCTTACCAAAATGCTGCAGTTTTATTCCCTGTTAGCTGTTTTCCCATCTACCCAGCTATTCTTCCTGTCTCCCAATTATTTCTTTCAGAACGGAGGTATCTACATGATTGATCTCTTTGGATATCTTGCCTTCCTCTGCAGCTGTCTCTGTCATATATGTTCCACAGAGAACAATTCAGGTATTTTCAGAATGTTCAGGCAACATATCTGATATATAACCTGGTTATCAGCAGAGTTACATACAACCACAATGATGAGGGGTGATGGTAGAAGTGGGGAGTTGCAATGGTTCTCCTGTTATATAGGGGGAGCTGCCCCACAGGGTAGCAGAAATATTTAAAACTTCTGCCTTCTGGCAGCATTGCTGCCTCTCATACTAAAGGAAGGAGATAAAAAAGTATAGGCAGAATGTAAGGATCCAACCTGTCTCTTCAATACAGAATTGAAAGGAACTATGTCTTCCATATAGACATAGGGGTAACAATAGAGACAAAATGCAGACATTTAGGGGGAGAATTAGAGTATAAGAACATCTTTAGCAATTTAAAAGTCACAGCACCATTAATGATTTTTTTTTTCCAGTCAGACCCAATTACAACTGTTTACAGAGTCCTTTCTCTTTCCCTCAGAGGCTTTGGCTGAATTCCCATAATTTCCGGGACCAAACCCAACTATGCCACTGACCACAGCATTCTGACTGCTTAATGCAATTCCATGGCAAGGACAGGGAACTCCCAGAAACAAGAAAGGGCTTGATTTGCTCCACGCTGTACCTGGAAACAGCTCCCAAAGCAACATGTTTTGCCAAATAACTATGCCCCAGAGTGGCCAATTAGTTTGTGCAATTCTAGATTAAAATAAAGACTATTCCTTGCCTTTTCTTTTTCAAAATCATTTTTTTCCAGGTAAAAAATGTTGGCAAAGTTTCTCCTTGGCTGAAATTTCAGAGCTCTATAATCTTTGTTCCAGTGTTTCCATGAACACAATGCTAGGAGGGAATAAAAAGGTGGTGAGCTGAGGGGAAAGGGTGTTAGAGGTGAAGGAGGATGTAGCAGGTTAAGCTTACAAAGCACTCGTACATATCAGTTCTTAGGAAAATCCCATGTTATCCCAGGTCTGACCCATGTCAACAAGTGTGCTTACTCACGGTGGCAAACAAAAGTGTTTGAAATGCACTACAAGATGATTTATTGACTTATTTCATACCATCATTTCTGTTTATATCAACATTCAGAAAAGTGCTATATAATTCACTTTTTTCCTTGGCTGATCTCTTCTACTCAAGATGGTTATGAGCTTTTCTGTCATTTATAGAGTACCATAAGTTATTAGCAGCCAAGGAAAAAATATACAGGACAGAATAGAAACTCTCCCTAGTAAAAAGAGTTGAGTGTCATACGTGAGTATAATGCAGTTCAGTCAGTACAGAGCGAGCACAGTGGCATGTGATGGCTGCAGCAGGAATGCTCTGTGGAACAGATGGCATGTCAGGAGGGCTTAGTCAGAGCAAAGTGAGGTGAGATTTGTAAGAACTAGCATTTCTAATAAGCCATTTGGAAAACTCTGAAAAGAAGACACTTTGAGGGACTAGGTTATGAGAAATGCAACCACTGGCTAAAATTAACCAAAGTATGTGCAAACCAGCAGGAAAGTAATTTTAGTTTTTATGCAATGTATAAGTAATGCATAAAGATCTTCAAGAACATAGGGCAAGTATGGGAACATTTGAATTTTCAAGTCTTCTAACCTGATTAACAAAAACTTCATCACATTAAACATGGATGCTTTTCAGATGGGCAAAAAAAAATTAGCATTTGCTAATTAACCATATTGTTGACTGTTCCTCCAAACATTACTCAGCTGAAGTTAACTTTGTGTTTTACCTTACATGGCACAGCACTTTTGGGAAACTATTACCATCACAAATGTGGTCAAGGCTTCATGGTCAACTGCAGCATCTCAAAATCTAGTGTCATCACACAGCTTTGATTTTTCTTATCTTGAAAGTTGGTCTGACAAAGTTGAATAAGAAGACAGAAGCAGACAATATCTTCTCTTCCATGAATGTCCCAAGAAGGTTTAAAGTGTAACTGTAGT